CGAATACAAGAAGTTACGTCTTCCATACAACGGGAGTTCCTAGTGAAATCAGTTGACGCGATTCCTGGGCCTAACCTGAAGCTGGTAGCTAAATCTGGTGCCCATATCGATTTTTAAATAAAACCACATGCTAAACGCTTTCCTCTCATATCCATTTCTTTTAAAAATAAGAGTTAATAACTAAATTATAAATATATTCAAATGGAGAGTTATTTTCAATCACCCTGAATATAAGCTTAATTCAGTGGTTCTCAACCTTTTTTTACCCATGGACCCCTTTCCCTTCTTTTTTTTATCTTGGTGGACCCCTTCATAGCTATTGGACATAAGAACAATTTTCTATTCTTCACTAATATAAATTTTAAGGTTTTAATTATCAAAGAAAAAAGTATACGATTAAGCTTTATTTTTTTTGAAAACTAATTTTAATACAAATATAATATTCTACTATAATTATAATAATAATTAAAAATTACTATTTTTAATTTTTAATGTTTTTTTGTTTTGCCTGTGGACCCCTGAAATATTTTGATGGACCCCTTTGGTCCATGTGAACATGATTGAGAACCACTTTTTTCTTAATTGATTAAGCTTTTTAATTGATATAAGGTTTAATTGATTAAAGAATCATTATATTATTAGTATAAAAAGTTATCTTAGGAACCTTTCGACCAAAGATATATCGTAGGCGTATATTTTTTTATTTATTAATACTGACACATGCCCGGAAAAAATTAAGAGTCTTTTTATATGTGTTTTTCCATTTCTCGTGCTTTTTCAGGTTAGTAATGAATTTTATTCGTTTTTATTTATACAAATTGAATAAATTTCTTAATTGTTACAAGAGGACGATTTTGAATCTTTGAATCGTGTTCCAGTGTTTACAGTGTTCTTGTCAGTATTAATAAGAACACATCTTTTTCACAAAAACACGTCGAGAACGTCGGGCGATATTTTAGTCGATTTTAGAAGCTAATAATAAATAATCGTCTATTTTAGTGTAGATTTATTAATGGATATAATCAATATGGCAGACGACATTCTTTGCTATAATTTCTGTTGGGATCTTAATTTCCTTATTTCTTACATAGACAGTATATGCATTTTATGATTCTGTCCGAAAAATCAAATAAAAATAAAATCACTTTTTTTTTTATACATACATATATATATATATATATATATATATTATAAAAATATAAAAATATATTATTTTAAGACATTTTTTTATGTTTATACGTTCTTTTTATAGATAATTGTCGGGCTTTGTCCATTTCATAATGTATGACGTCATTTGTTTACATTTGGATACGCATCGAGCAGATATGAATGTAAGTGAGATAATCATGGAGAATTGTAGTTTAAAAACAGTAAAATCGACCTTGTTAACCGAAACGTTACTCTGTGGCTCAATTGGTAAACGGACGTCAGTCTATATGACGGTTCCGTATAGGATACAGGTTCGATTCCTGTCGGAGGACGCATATTTTCTATGAAAATTTCTCGGACATTCAGGCCGGTAAATATTGTTAATACTGATTATTATAAGGAGAGCATTTACTTAAATATTTGTATTCATAAAAAAAAACGTTTTAATATAAAAATGTATTATTTATATATATATATATATATATATATATATATATATATATATATGTGAGTGAAAAAAACCTACCAAGGATTTTTATGCTAATTCTATTGTATTTAGGTAGCTGTTTTAACAATTAAGTGTCGCTTGTGCCTAACTTCTTTAGCCTGTAGTACCCTGAAGATGCATTAGGTGAAACCTTGGTAGGTAGGTTCTGGCTCACTAGGTTTTTGAATTTGCTCTGCTTAGTGTATGGAGCACTCTTATGTTTTACTAAATTTTCATCTGTTGGTGTTTTTACTTTTGATTAGGTATTGCGATGCTGATTGATTATTTTCGATCAACACGGATGTTTTTCGTCTTTTGGTTTTTTACTGAATTTTTTTCCCCTGATATCGATTTGTTCTAATATATTTTTATTTGGCAAATTGGATCATCCGCTTTTTCTTCACACCGCCAGTATAGGTATTAAAATAATGCGTAATAACATATATTTATACCTATAATTAAGTAATTCATCGAGTCTAGAAGAAACCTCAACAGAATGCAGAAAGCACTGGACGGCCGTTTCGTTCTATATTTGGGACTCATCAGCAGGGCGTATCCACTACAGAGAATTGAAACCCGGACAGTTACGTTACTAGGCAAACTTGTTAGCAAGTACCGTCCTTCGGACGTCGCGTGATATGGAACGTCACTACTTGCTAACAAACAGTAATTTTAATTTATTTGTAACAAACAGTTATTTCTGATGAAAGATTGAGGACAATTTGAAATATCAAATATATATATAAATAAATAAATACTTTCATAAAATAAAACATTATATTTTTCATTAATTATATCTTACTGGAATTCTCCGAGCTTTTTATAACACTATTGAATTCTAGTTTGAACAATACGAATGCATTTAGCTCTAAGTTAAAATGATGATCCCTCTTTCTATTGTGACCTGATCCAGTTTTCCTCTCTACTGTTCCCTCTATTTTAAACTTATTCACCATTCTCTTGATGATTCTCGAATGGGCTTTGAAGATGCAATATAAATGTTCGTACCATTACTGAAGGCCTGAATGATCTTTTTCCTCCTACCATTGCTCAGTTGGGAAGACATAGTAGGGCTGACACAAAGCGATTTTAATCTGTTCTCTTTCGAGCTGAATAACTCAAAGGGTTTTTCAGTGATTCTTACGTTAAATGATACACTGAACATTACCATATAACTGTTCTCAATACTCAGTCGTAATTGATCTACCGAGTTAAACTGACCATTAGACCACATCGATGTGCTCAAACAGGAAAAAGAATACTTTTTAGGTATCTTTTTGTTGTATCGTCGATGTGAATAATACACAGAGAAGAAGAGTGCTTAATATATTTATTCAGCAACGGCATCCCGTGCTAACGGATACATACAAAAAACACAGAACAATACGTTACAAAACAATTAACAAGACAACTTAAAAGGAATAGAGGAGGGTCAAATGCTGTAACGAAGTAAGATCAGTCCGAATATTAATCAGCTTAGTATCAACTTATTAATTAGCTGTTAAAGTCCTTGAATAAATAAACTATTTAATAAAATGAGCCAGGCCATCTGGTATTTTCTGAAGGGCTGCAAAGTAAAACAACATTTCCAATGACAAGAATGTTTCGATATTGAGCAATATTGCTTACTGGCATAAAGATTTATTAAGCCTTAGCTATAGCAGATTTATAGATTTTTTCATTACGATTGAGATCGTCAGTTTCCAACCACATTTTTATATCTTTTCTTGTTTGTCTTCTTCTTCATGACACTGCTGATCATGGCTCTCCTTGGGTTTCCTTGAAAGTTATAGCTTTAAAGTAAGTTTTGAAAAAATCTCTCCTAATCTAAAATCTGCCATCCATTTACCCAAGCTCGTTATTCACTGATTTTCCCTGTCCCTTTTGCATTCAATATATCCTGTGAGTGTCAAATTTTCCAAGCATTCTTTCCTTATTATGTGCCCTGTGTTGTAATTGACCATGAATAAATGTAATTGGTAGAAATAAAAGCTTTCAACAAACTGAACTGACAAAATTTCAATAAATTTTAAGAAATGTTCTTCTCCAAGAAAAGCGATACAAATGATATGAAAAATTCACAATATATATATATATATATATATATATATATATATATATATATATATATATATATATATTACACATGCTGTTCGATAAAAGTCTACTCACCTGATTTTCTCAGAGATTGGGGCATTGATGTCATAACACTCACCTGCGTCTCATCAAAGTATTCCTTCATCAATTTTGATTTGTGACAGGGAGCATTATCCTGCATAAAAATGAGCTTGGTGGGGTCGATTTGCACCCTTTCAGCAAAATGGAGCAGACAAGACTCTAAAATTCTCTTGTACTGCTTGCTTATGAGGATCTTTTCAATGGGTTTTAAGAAACCAATTCCACGAAAAGAAAAGCATCCCCAGAACATTATACTGAACGGATGCTTGACAGTACTTACTGCTAAATTCAAAGAGCTTTCAAAGCTTCTTCTTCGGATTTTACATCGCTTATCCTTTGAATTTAGCTCAACTTTCGTTTCATCGGAGAAGAGAACATTTAGTAAAAAAAATCAGGTGAGTCACTTTTATCGAACAGCACTGTATCGAGTTATTTTCGGCCAATATATATATATATATATATATATATATATATATATATATAATATATAAAACAAAAGACAAAAGATAATTTTCAAGAGGAATAAAGTTCACAAACTAAGAATGGTGTTAACAAATAAAAAGGATAAAGACAAGTGAGCGTATCGTTCTTGACTTCAAGATAAGAAAGAACAGAAATATGGCGGATGTGACCGTGATGTAGATTATCTTATTGACTAGGAAGTAATCCCAGTATGCATCTGCATGATTTGTTTATATTTGGGAAGGGGGATGATCCCACACAAGATTGAAAACAAAATGCCCTAGTAATTTCAACAGTATTTCAGTAGGAGGTCAGATGTCTTCTTGAAAGATAAAAACAAGCACAAACGCCTAATATGACTGTCGCATGTTTATTGAGAGGAATAATTTTCATGGAAGCCATGATGATTTTTTTCGCGGGCAACATTTCCAGAGTGGGTTATGTATATAAATATATAATAATATTATACTTATAAAACAGGATACAGTGCAATTTTATATGGAGCAATGCCTGCAAATGCAGCGAGTAGGAACCTGCAATTTCACCTGCATACGCCTGTAAATTCCGGTTTCGTCGTCTCGACATTTGAGTACAACTCTCGTCGACATAACGCTCAGCTTTTGGCAACAGCGACAAGCCCGGAGCATGAGACTCATTTCGCTATTTCCATATACGTTTATGATTTAGGGTTTGCCCGGTAAATAATGAATTCTTCCCGCCAAACATACGAGCGGAAGTTTTGAGGGAGACAACGCCGGAAATTGATGGTGTGAATGAATTTGCGCAGATGACACCATTGATTAGTGTCATCGAAGACGTCACCTTCGGAAATGATGCCCAGACTGGGAGACGTGCTGAAACGCATTATAGAAGCAATTGGATGTGAGAGGACGAAAATGCAGAGACACGTGGTCACAAACCAGCTGTTGTACATAGCCAAATTGGCATTTCGTTCCATCGTGTAAACGCCTGGAAAAAAAGAGAAAAAGAATTAACAAGATAAGGCACAAATGAGAAAAAAGATTAAATGCAAAAATATTCAGTCAGTTATGTGTCATGAGTGTATCATCTCGGTGGCTAGGATCAAAGTTATATAGTATCTGCAAAAATAGCTGCCGGGTCGGTGTTTCTGCCAAAAGATGCTTGCAGAGAGGAACCTGGATTTTTATAAACCCGCCGAAGGGTAGGGTTTCGTTGGGGATGCAGGTTGACGGAACTGGCCCGCCTCGGCGGGTTTGATGGTTATTTATTTTTGGCTGGGCCTACGGGCTCAGAGATACCCACATTAAAAAGGCCTTGTGCCACATTCGATCCCCGTGGGTGGATTGATAAATACCATCTTTTGATACATGACTGACGATACAGATTTTTTTCCCGCAGTAGGTTGCCATTTCTTTCTGCGGTAGACCAGTTGTCATTTAAGGCACCCGGTCCAACGTACTATTTATTCATAACTTGGGTGGATAAGAATAGGATTTATACCCCTTTCCCAAGGGTATTGGCACGTAACTGAATGTAATGGATTCGACTGGAATTTGAACTCGGCGCTCCGATTCCTCAATCCGAGCCACTATCCATTACCCTACCGTACCTTGATGAGCTTACATGTAGATATTATTTAAAAAATAAAAATTCATTGGGTTAAGTACGTTTAATGAGTGTAAAGGACAATCAAGAGTTAAGGGTTAAGAAGAAAAAATCTAACTAATAAAAAGCTGCACAGCTTGTTAGAAATATATCGCATTTGTGAATATATATATTACAGTTAGTTGGCGATAACAAATCCTGAAAAAGGAAAAGAAGCACTTTGAACCTTTTCATTGGCCATGAACTGACGAATCAGCAACTAGCATGAAAAAGATATTTCCTGTTAAAACAGAACTTCATTCCTCCAAAATTTATATACAAGAATTTTTTCGCTTGTCAACAAAAATCTGTGATAAGGAAGTTTTCTCACTCAATTTACCCTCTCCGTCACTGACAAGTAATCGGCAAAATTTCCCTACTGGGAACAATAAGGATGGACAGTTTTTAAAATAGGAAAACCCTGTTATACAACACTTATACTATATATATATATATATATTATTTCAATTATTTTTAAGAGAAATTCGATGTCGAAAATATTTCAAGCGAAAAGATTTTGTCAATGGTTTTTAAAAAAGAAAAGAATTGCCAACGAATTTTACAAGTAGGAAGAATTTTTAAAGATTTGAAAAACGGTAAAAAAATTAACATTACATTTTTTAGTAAGAACATTATCAAGTAATTTGATAGGAAGAAAAACAGGGACAATTATTTTTACAAGTGAAAATATTGCCAGAGATATTACCACATAAAAAAGCATTTCCAATGATTTTTTTTAAAGAAACCCATTGCCAATGATGTTTAAAGCAGAAAATTATTTCATTTATTTATAGAAAGTGTTGTGGATTCCGAGATGAAATCCGGTCTCCAATGAATGACAAACGCAGGAATGAAATGTAACAAATAAATGTATGTACACAATAATACAATTGGTAATACCGTTAGTAGATCCAGAAACGTGGTTAGTAGCAATAATGATATATATACACAGTCTGGTAAATTCAGTCTCGAAGTAGGACTTAGAGTCTACGTGCTTGTAACTGTGACTTCTACAAGCGGTTACCTCACACTATTACTCTACCTCCAACTCAATCACAATCTCTGTCTGCTCTTTATCTACCTCTGACTGCTCTGACCCTGGGTATTTAACGGCAGCCGCACACTGGTCGAGTCCACTTGTATGAAAAAGGGGTGGACCCCATAACAGAAAGGAAAATAATTACCGATTATTTTCATAATATAAATGCATTACCGATGATTTTTACAATAGAATACACTTTTACAAAAGGAAAGAAGTGCTGATGGTTTTGAAAAGAGGAAGATATTGGCAAAAGGATTTAAATATAAACGAAATGACCAATTAAACTGACAAAAGAAAAGCATTGGCAATGATGATTTTATAATAAAAAGCAATGATTTTATATTGCCAGTGATTTTCAAGATAGAAAGACGTTGCCAAAAATTTCCAGTGGCGAGAATCAGGGTGCTTTTGTAAAAGAAAAGCGTTGCCAATGATTTTTCAACTGAAAAGCCTTGCAATTGAATTTGTCGACAAAACAAAACAAAACAAAAAACAAAAAAAAAAACAAAAAAAAAAAAGCCTAAAGAAAAAGCATTGCCAGTGATCTTTACAGGATAAAGACATTTCCAATAACTTTGAAAAAAGAAAGACCTCGCCAATGTATTTCAAAAGAGAAAAATGTTGCCAATGGATTTTACAAGAAAAAAAGCGCAATATTAAAATAATAAAAGCATTTTCAATGATATTTCTGTTGTAACCTAGAGAATGTTACTGAATAGAATAAGCAAACGAAGGTTAGTAAGGAACGATAATACTTAGGACAGGGAAAACACATATAAGATTCGCCAGCGGCGCGTAGAAGAATTAGTCACTGCTAAAAGTGAGTCAAATGAATTCCACAATGACTCTTCAACGGCAGGATATCTAACCAACCGCCCCACGCGGTCAGATGTTGCACAAGGCCAAATTTAATATGGGGTATCCGAGCCCGTAGTCTCAGACCCCGTATAAAACTGCTCCGGGTAGCTGTTTCCCAAGACCAGACTCTGTCCTTAGACATAAACTCGTCTGGAGATCCTCTCTGCCCAGAGGCAGAGAGTTTGACCAGCACACCTAGTGACGAATCTCCAACTGAAGGATATCTACAAACCGCCCGACGCGGCACAAGGTCGAATTTAATGGGGGTATCCGACTCCGTAGGCTCAGTCAAAACTTCCCCGTAGACCCCGTGTAAAACGGAGTCGGATAGCTGTTTTCCGAGACGAGACTCTGACCTTAGACATAGCCTCGTCTGGGGATCCTCTCTACACAGAGGCAGAGAGTTTGACCAGCAAAGCTGGAGACGAATCTCCAACTGCAGACCAACATACAGTATTTACTATTGCATTCATGTGAATGCGGACATACCCATTATCGTCCGTAGGTATGATACAACAATTTCAATGATATCATTGTCAGTTGTTTTGACACTGGTTAGTTGGGTGTTTATGTTTAGTGACTTATCAACCCTATGGACTATTTAATAACAAAACCTTATTCATGCAATATTCTTTTTGAGATAATAGTAGTTTTAATGATACAAGGCTTACTAATTAATCCGTAGCTAGGTAGATAAGAGGTGGATTCATATCTTCGTTTGGTTTGTTTTACGGCATATCAATCTAAATGTTCTTTTTTAATGCCGACATGATTTTTATTGCTGGTAATATTTTTCTCAAAAATGTATTGCTGGTATTAAAAACTATTTTTACACTTTCATAGCATTTTTACCTCAGTTTTGAGGGGGTCAACTATTTGCCCATAGCTGAGATCCTAACAGGTGCCACCACCCCGAGTCAGGGTGGAACTGGGGACACAAGCAATTAAGAGGTGGTTCCACGCTCCTCAAAACCTCCTGATCAGAGGCCTTGTTGTTGGACGTAGTTTATGGTCATACCCAGGACGCGGATGTAGTTTATGGTCATACCCAGGACTTGATTCATATATTTCCCCAAGGCTATTCGCGCGTAAGTGAATATAACGAACCCAACTGGGATTCGAACACTGCTTTACGATTAACAATAGCAAAACATTTGATCATCCGCACATTATTCCCAAGAGGTCACCCATCTAATTACTGACCAGGCTCGACTGCAGTGATCTTACGAGAACTGTTTTTTCAACGTAATATGGCCATAAGCCCTTTATACCACCTGCACATCCGAGATTACATCTGGTATTTTCAAGCGGTCACCCATCTTGGTACTGACCAAACTCGACTTTGCTTAACTGCAGTGATCTTACAGGAATCGTTGTTTCTATGTGATATGACCCTAAGACCAATTTTTACAAAAATAATAAAATATTAAAATAAAATAAAAATAAAAAATAAGCATGGGTAATAATTTTGAAAATAATAAAGCATTATCCATGGTTTGCCAAGAGACAAGTACAACCAATAATTTGTCGACCATCCATTGCTCAAGCTTTCTCATTCCCCCTTCGTATCTATTACTAGCAGCATGGCCCGGCGTTGCCCGTGCTTGATTAAAAAATCGTACGACTTATACAGCAATTTTCTTGCATGAAAAGGAAAAATGGAATGGAGTTTGCGTATCACTGGCTGAGGACTTCAGTGTAGACCACATTTTCAGCTTTTTGCGAGGGTGAATAAAGGAACACATCCTCGCGCCTGCCGACTCGAGAGCAAGCTACGTAAAGTTGGCCGTCTGAGAAGCACTGCTCCTCTCAGTGTACACCAATGACAGACAGCGTTTGTCCTTGGGCCTTCAATCCCTTCAAATGGCTCCTTCACATGGTGACCCCCAATGGCCTCGTCATAAATCCGGTCAGTTTTAGATAAAAACCGACATGCGGTTCAGGTGCAATCTGAGCGTATCGGTTTTTGGATTTTATCGATTTTCCGCGCTGTTTAGGGGTCCGTGGCAATGAAACTTCTGGACAACACTTCTAATGGTAGACTCTAAGAGGGTGTCAAATTTGGTTGTAATGCGATCATTCCTTCTGTAAGCAGAATTTTTTCGATTATCGATTTTTTCGATTTTTTCGGAACCTGAGTCCGAACTCAAAAATCAGGCTCCGTCATATCCTTACGGCAGCCATTTGCAAACTTATGGTGAAAACCGCATCCAAATCGGGTGAGAAATGCGGCCTGGGGGAGGTAACAACGCCCACGACAGACACACAGACAGACAACATGAGAAATATAGATAGTAGATAGATAGATAGATTGTGGGATTTTGTGATTTGACAAGGAAAAGGGAGGATTGATTTAATTTCCCGAGATTAGCCTCATGAGCATTTCTCTATTTTTCAAATACATAAAATAAGGAGAAAAAAAAAGGTTATTTTTTTCTCACTAAATTGGTTTTATTTTATACATTTTATAAAATGATACCATTTTATAAAATGATATCATTTTATACATTTTATAAAATGGTGTGTTTTTTTCAGCATGTAGCTGATCATAGGTCTTTACGGCTTCTTTATCTGTGAATTATCATGACTTGACAAAGATTTTTATTATAGAACGCTTACAAGTATTAAATATGAGCTGCATTTTGTGCAACTGATATCTATGGGATAATCTTCAAATCTTAGTCAAGTCAGTTTTCCTCACTTTCACACAAATGCTTTTGGAAAAGGCAAAGTCACGAATCCACTTTTGCTCTCCCCAACTATGGATTAAATAGAAGAGTATATTGGACTATCTCCATTTTGGTGTCAACCAAAAAGGAAAACTCTGAATTCTAAACCGTGTAAAAAGCAACAGAAAACCATTACATCATTAACCCCAAGAATATATGACAATTAGAATATAATAAAAAAATGAATATGTGGAGAGTCATGATCGCCTATGTCCTGAACAGAGAAAGGCTACTTTGAATTCAAAACAGCGGAAAAGGCAACGGTAAAACACTAAACTATCTTTCCAAACAATAGATGGCAATTCGAAGATAAAGAAAAGGATTCTGTGGAGAATCATGATCGCTTATGTCATGGAGAGAGAAAGACTGTTTTAAATTCTAAACCGTGTAAAAAGCAACGGGAAACCACTACACCATTTACCCCCAAGAATATATGACAATTAGAAACTAAGAAAGAGAATGAAACTGGGGAAAGAGATGATCGCCTCTTTTTAAGAGAGGCCATTTTGAATTCTAAACTGTGGGAAAGGTAACAGTAAAAAGCTAGACTATCTTTCTCAAGAATAGATGAAAATTTGAAGATAATAAAGAAAAAGAAAAAAAGAATACATGGATAACCACGATTGCCTACCATTTGAAAGAAGATGTCATAAAAACGACTTTGCTAAATAATGACTGATATATCCATTTGCATATATGGAAAACTGCCATTACAGTTATGAATAATTTTCAGGAAAAATAACTATTTTGAAATTTCAATAACTATTGATATAACTGGCCTTCGAAATTTTGTGTTGGATTTTCATTATTCCATGAATTATTCAGCGTTTTATCCTTATCTCTATTGTTTTTATCACAGTATTACAACTGATGTGTTCTTTGGAAAAACAATAAATCTGCATATATACGTTAAATAGAGTTATCAATATAATATAAAAAAATGTGTTCTCTGTGAATTTCAGTGTTAAAGAGGATAAAATAAATAAAATAAAGATAAAAAAAGAGTATAAAAAATATGTTTCAAAATTAAAGAGAACAATATGAAGCCTTAATGTCTTCCTTCCATATAAATCATCATTCGAAACAAAATCAACATTGGGTATTTGTATGTGTGTGTGTGTGCGTGTGCGTGTGCATGTGTGTGTGCGCGTTTGTGTGTGTGTGTGTGTGTGTGTGTGTGAATTACTTTTTCTCTTGTTTAGTTCCGCAATAGAATAAAAAGCTATTTCCCGCTCTCTAATCTGATCAGCCAATTGTCATTCTCTCAATTGAAAATTTCACGTTAGGTCAGAAAATCCCGCCAAACACAGACACACACACAAACTTGTATTTGATCTTTAATTAGTAATTAAATTCCAGTATATTTATTTGTAAAAATACCGTATAGCCTCTTAGTTGTTAGAAGGCCGAATGACACTTTAAATCTATAAGAATAAAATTTAATTAATAAAATTTAAATATTAAAAATATTTCTTGTAGATATTTAAATGGCCCTTTTAGAAAATCTTTGTATAAAAATATGATTTAAGCGGATGAATAAAAATGCCAAAAACCCAGACGACTCACTGAATAACGGAAGTATACGTTTGTTAGAAGGCATCCCATCCCACCAAAACTTAACCTGACTTGGTAACATATATTGGATGAATAGGGTATCTAGGGAAATTAAAACCTTACCACCCCTAAACTAAAATAGATTTTCTTTAAGCGTAACAACTCATAATATCAATATTGTCTGAGCTTACAAATTTCTTTGAAAGTTTATAATGAAAATCGTTTGACGATGGAATGAGACTATGGATTTTAAGTTTATTTTTTATAATTATATTTATAAATTTAGTTTCAGTTTTGAAACATGGAAATTTTCTCGGTCGCGATGGAATCATATTTTTAAAAAGAGAATATATATATATATATATATATATATATATATATTATAACAATATTCGCAGATTTCACTTTCGCTGTATCACAGATCCTCAGTGCGACTAGACATCCGAATGTCTCAAGCCAGGATCGAAGCCAAACCGATTTGGTGTTAGTCAGAGCTTCTACGACTGAGCTATCTTCATTCGGCAGAATGAAACGGCTAAATATAGCGTATTGTTTTACAAATGCCAATCAACCGGAGTGCTCCAATCTATTTTAACGAAGAGCTTTGCATTAACGCAGGTGGCTGTTGTTTATAGAATTAGCCTATCACTCAATAGTGCTCAATTGAAATATATTTTCAAGAGCTAAATTATATATATATATATATATATATATATATATATATATATATATATCAAAGGAAAAAACTTAAGACATCTCGGAAAATCCGGTAAGACCGAAATTAAAAAATGATTTAAATTTATCTAGACACTATGTTAAAAATTGTTTAAAAATTAGTTTACAAAAGAAGAAATAGGAAAATATGAAACTGCTTTTTACAAACAATTATCTGTGGATTTATATTATTGAGATGGGTGAGGAAGGACAGTGTCATTGCAATGAACAGGAGATGTAGAAGCACAAATTCGAGCTAGTGAAATACATTGGAATCAAATCAAAATTTATATCCTCGTCATTTATTTACAAAATAATAAAATCATCATCATAAATATAAAACAAGTAAAAATTAATATATATATATATATAATATATATATGTTAAGAAATGGAAAAAGGTCCGACAATTTATTTATTAAAACATTTTTATTTATGTTTAACGTTGTTATTTTATATAGATACAAGTATTTAAGCAAATGCTCTGTTTATGATAAACAGTATTAAATAACATTTACCGGCCTGAATGTCCGAGAAATTTTCATAGAAAATATTCGTTCATAGACAGGATTCGAACCTGCATCCTATACGGAACCGCCATATACGCTGGCGTGCCTTGATACTCAGCCACCATGAAAAATTTCGGTAGACAAAAAAATAAATAAAAAACTACAATTTTCCATGAATAAATTCATCGGACCTCGTCCATTTCTTAACATATGACGTCATTTGTTTATATTGGATATACGCCAGACAAGTTATTTATTGTAAGATTCATGGAAGATTGTAGTTTATAACAGTAAATTCGAATTGTTTACCATAAGGTTCATGGTGGCCGAGTGGTTTTGCACGCCAGCGTATATGAAATTCCGTATAGGATGCAGGTTCGAATCCTGTCTATGAACGAATATTTTCTATGAAAATTTCTCGGACATTCAGGCCGGTAAATGTTATTTAATACTGTTTATCATAAAACAGAGCATTTGCTTAAATACTTGTATCTATAAAAAAATAACAACGTTAAACATAAATAAAAATGTCTTTAATAAATAAATTGTCGGACCTAAATATTTCTTAACATATGACGTCATTTGTTTACATTCGATACGCCAGAGCAGTTATGAATGTACGAGATTCATGGAAGATTGTAGTTTATAACAGTAAATTCGACCTTGTCTACCATAAGGTTCATTTATGGCCGAGTGGTTAAGGCAAAAATATGGCGGTTCCGTATAGGATGCAAAAACGAATCCTGTCTATGAACGAATATTTTCTATGAAAATTTCTCGGACATTCAGGCCGGTAAATGTTATTTAATACTGTTTATCATAAACAGAGCATTTGCTTAAATACTTGTATCTATAAAAATAACAACGTTAAACATAAATAAAAATGTCTTTAATAAATAAATTGTCGGACCTCGTCCATTTTCTTAACATATGACGTCATTTGTTTACATTCGATACGCCAGAGCAGTTATGAATGTACGAGATTCATGGAAGATTGGAGTTTATAACAGTAAATTCGACCTTGTCTACCATAAGGTTCATGGTGGCCGAGTGGTCAAGGCACGTCAGCGTATATGACGGTTCCGTATAGGATGCAGGTTCGAATCCTGTCAAAGAACGAATATTTTCTATGAAAATTTCTCGGACATTCAGGCCGGTAAATGTTATTTAATACTGTTTATCATAAACAGAGCATTTGCTTAAATACTTGTATCTATAAAAATAACAACGTTAAACATAAATAAAAATGTCTTTAATAAATATATATATATATATATTGATGTCCATTCTTTATATATTTATAATTTAATTTTTTCACCAGGTTGAGCTCTAAAAGCATTTATGAATGTATATAGATTGTGTATATATATATATAAATATTAAATTGAAAATATTAAGGTTTATATATATTATATATTTATATAACTAATATTATATATATATATATATATATATGAATATATATATATATATATAAGGGTTTAAACATTTTCTATCAACATATATATTATATATATATATATATATATTTAAATGTAAAAATTTATAACGTTTTAAAATAGAGTCAAAAAACGATATTATTACGTCTCAAAAATTTTCACCTTTACCATATATTCTTTATATATATATATAATATTTATCAAATATATATATAATATATCAATGATTATATAATATATATATATATATATATATATATATATAAAATCTGTGTGTATATTTATTGTATGCATCGTATATATATATAAAAATTTGTAAATATTTTTTTTTCTTTTAAATTTTTAATCATCATCATTTGCTCTGTATAAAAGGTTAATGAGGTAAATTCAAATTTTAAATATTTTTTTATTAAAAAATTTTGCTTTAGGTTTAAAGTCCAATTTACAATTCATATTATATATATATATATATATATATATATATATATATATATATATAAGGAAATTGCTTTTGGATATAAATCCGATTTGAATGAAAAAATTTTGAAAAAACAAACAAAAATCCTTCAAATGTTTAAAAATGAAATAAAAATGTCGACGTCTGACGTTTTTATTAAAAACCTTTTCAAGACAATATTCATCAAAATACAATTCAGTTCAATATGACAAATACGATGGACATAAAAAACAAGTCTTATTCAGAACAGATAACTGGTTTTTTAATATTTCCCCTTTTTAAAATATTTATCATTGATTGATCTCGACAAGCATATTTTATAAAAATTTTAACAACCTAATAGAATTCTTTTCATTTTCTTTTTTTTTTTCATTTCAAAATAATCAAAACTTTAAGGAATACGTTATGAAAGCGTCGCCCATGTGACGACAGCGTGACCATGTTAAACGGAAGGCTGATCATTTTAAAAATTTTCAGTTATCTGTTCTGAATAAGACTTGTGTTTTTATGTCCATCGTATTTGTCATATTGAACTGAATTGTATTTTGATGAATATTGTCTTGAAAAAGGTTTAATAAACCGAAACGTCAGACGTCGACATTTCTTTCATTTAACTACATTTAAGGATTTTTGTTTGTTTTTTCAAAATTTTTTCATATATATATATATATATATATATATATATATATATTGGGGAAAATATAGGACAAAGTGTAAAACCTTTACGTTGACGCGTTTCGTCCTTTGGAAGTTCATCGGATTAAATTTGTTTTGTTGATGCGACTACACATTCGCACTAACGAGGGATGCTGGGAATTTTAAATTTATTTTTTTTTTTAACTATTCGATTTCATTTAGTTAGTAGATATCCCACACTGATAAATTCCTCACAATCTGAAATAGATTGGAACAGCTTGTAGATTCCGAAGAGCTGATATAGACAGATATGCTGGGTATAAGATAGATTGATAAATAGATAGAAGAGTTCGAGATAGATAGATAGATAGATAGATAGATAGATAGATATATAGATATGAAGTCGGAGATAAATACATTTATAAGAACAGTTTGAAGATAGATAAGATTAATCTCAGATAGATAGATAGGTAGATAGATAGATAGATAATGAACAGACAGACAGATAGACAGATAGATAGATATTTTTAAATCAGAAAAGATCATAAAAAATAGTTTGAAGATATATATATGCATGTGTTTTGTGTGTGTTGTAGTTAGTCTGGAGGTAGAGAGATTTCTAGATAATGAATAGAGAATGTAGATAGATAGATTTTTGAGATAGATCGATAAGAATAATCAATTCAAAGAAGAAATATATATATATATATTTTTTATAAACTGAAGAACACTTTCCGGGATAGGTAATGAATATACATAGATAGATAGACAGATTATCTATATACATAGATATGAAATCTGAGATCGATAAGAACAAATGAAGATATATATATATATATATATATATATATATATATATATATATATTAGTCTGAGGTAGATAGATATAAAGATAATGAATATAGATATATAGATAGATAGATAGATAGATAGATAGATAATTAATTATGAGAAATTCTATAAAAATTGATTCATTTGAACATATATATATATATATATATATATATATATATATAAAATTTATATATTAAAATAGATAAATAGATAGATAGATAGATAGATAGATTTCCATAGATTCATAGATGGAAATAATTATCAGTGATTTTTAAAAAAAAAATAAAGAAAGAAAGAAAATATAAGAAAAAAAAAGAAAGAAAAAAAGTAACATCATCATTCATGGTGACAGGGATGTAAATAGGGAAAGGTGCATTTTATTTTAACTGATAAATAAAACAAGACTTACCTTAAATGCCTCTCTTCTTTCAATATATTTGTTATATCGACTGATTTTCAATCGAATATTTATTGATCTTAGAGGGTTAGAATTTATATCTTGTTTTCAATACCAACTTTGATTTGCGATGGAATTTTTCTTTATCTTTGCCAGTGCATTTTCTTTTTTTTTCTTCGTTCAAAGTTTTTCCGTTGCTCTGTCTTCTTATAAGTCTTGTGAATTGCGCCTGAAAGACCTCAACAGATGATTATTCTGGTTTCCATTGTCGCAAAGCGCTCTTTTGGATTTGTCGTTAACAAAGTTTGTTTTTATCCATTAATTTTTTTGAATCAATGAACGGATATAATACAATAAGATTTCGAAAATCTTTTAAGAAAAAAAAAATCCATGAAAGGATCAATAGATACCATATTTTTTATATATTCATTGGCAGAAAAAAAAAAATATTTAGATGGAAACCACAAAACGCCCGGTCTTATTCTGTTGAATAAAAAAAAAAAAATTCGTTCACCAAACAATAAGAACTTTTATACAACGCTGACCTGGCGTCGGAAACATTAACAGGATTAGAACTGAATTATCAATGCGGTATTTTCTAGAAAAAAATATGTATGAAAAGCAATAATAGTAAACAATGGAGTCAAAAACAAGACAAAGTAATCCATTTATTTAATCTAAAAGTATATTTCTAATAATTCATTTTTTTTTTCTCATTGACATTTGCTTATAAACTCGGCGAAAAGAAAAAAAATATATGCGAATTTAGAGCTTTTTTTTTTCCCTAATGAAAAGATTATTTTTAAATTTCATTTTTTTTTCTTATCATAAAGTCGACGTGTTTCATTATCTCTTTCTTTTTTTTTCCAGCTCTTCTTCGTAAAAACGCGGCAGACGGAATTAGAAAGTTTGCAAGTAAAGAAAATAGGATCATTTATGACGTAGTTATCAGCTGTCTACAGGTCCGAATACTTCTGTTTCGTCAAAGTTATTAGTCAACCAACCGGTCTTTCAAAGATTTTACTAGTACAAAAACGTATCAAAGTATCTTCTGGAGAAAGAAATCCATCAAAAAAATAGCAAATGCCGTAATGTTTGTAATAAAATTAATCGATGAAACCCACAGTAGATCGATAACATCGGAATCAGATATAGTCAATTGATGACAGCCGAATCAGACACAGTTGATCGACGGCATCCGAATGAGAGAAAGAATCGGATAAAGTCGATCAATGATACCCGGATCAGACGCCGTCGATCGATGACAGTGAATCAGATAAAGTCGATCAATGGTACCCGGATCAGGATCATAGTATATAGGTTAAAAAATATAATATTTATATTTCTTTTGCAATCTATATATGTTTTATTATAGTTATTGGTATTTGAATATATATATATATATATATACATATATATATATATATATATATTTATATATGTTTTTTAAGATACAAGTTATATATAATGTTTCTGTATCCATCTCGCAAAATTATTCAAATTTATACAAAACTCCTCAAACATTTCAGTTTTCTTTTTTTTATCCCTTTCCTTGATTTGCATCTATTTCAAACTAAAAAGAAAACACTATATATATATATATATATATATATCTATATATATATATATGAAGTAAAATATACTTTTTCAAGAAAAAATGCTAATAAATTTATGAAACAAGTTTAATGCAGTAATGGATAACATTTGTTTAATAATTATTTGTTTAAACATATTCATAAAACATAATTAAAATTTTATATCCATCGTCTTTTTCATGTTGAATTGTATATGGTCTATATTAATTATGTTTTAATCCTGAATATGTCCTGAAGATGGTCTATTATATAAACGTCCGACGTTGACATAAACATTAAAACAGCATATATTGATTAGGATTTTTGTTTGTTTTATAAATATTTTATATTAATATATGTAACTACTCGCTATATCCATATATTTATATATATATATATATATATATATATATAACTATATTGATATATATATATATATATATATATATATATATATATACAGAATGTCTCATATCGAGAATATTCCACATTGAACATGAAGAAAAATTAATTATTTTTAATAATATGTAAAAATCTCCACTTTCACCTGAAGACGGTTGCGAGACCAGACCAGAAACACGTGTCGTGAAATTATGTAAAACAAAGTATAATATATTTTTTCTCAATAAATCCACATTACAACCAAAAACGTTTGCGGCACCCCTCTTCTTTTTAATATACATACTTTTCTCTCGTTGGAACCACTACAACATATTTCTTTTATATATATATATATGTGTGTGTGTGTGTGTGTCTAAATGTGAAAGAACGAAAAGAATATAATTCAAACGTTCATAACATTAATTAAAAAAAATCTCAATACAATACTAGACAAATAAATATTTATTAAAAACTGTTACATTAGAAAGTGCAAGTTACTACTACAAACTGCATATTTTGTTTCGATGTTTAAACACGTCTCATCAATGATGGTAATAAACGAATTTATTTAAATTTACAATTTATGAAACATCACTTCTTTTTATGCTTTTGGAAAATTTTCCATGAAAGGAGAAAAATTTTTTTTTTTTAAAATAAAGAAGGAAAGAAAATAAGAAATCAATAAAAAGAAAAGGAAGAGGAAAGAAAAGAATGGCATAAGAAAACAAAAGAAATCAACCAAGAGAATGGAAAGAAAAGAAAGGAAAAGAAAAACAGGAGTATATGCAAATTATACAGCTACAAAAGAAGAGGAAAGAGAAGAAAAAAGATATGAGATGTTGTTGATACGAGCTCAAACCAATGAATCCAGGCCGAGAAAGATAATTCAAATTTGAACGGAAATAAAACACTACAAGATACTAACATACTGCAGCTACATTGTCGCTTGACATAGCAAAAGTGACAAGTGTCCATCATCACAAAAGTTGAGACTAGGATTCACAAGGAATCATAAAAGAGAGATAAAAAAAAAACAATATTCATAATAAGGCTAATAATATTTATCGTATATTATTAGTCCTTTTAACCAAATGACCTAATAATATACAATATATATTATTATCAATATCATAATATTGAAAATAAGGCTACTAATATATATATTATTATTATTTTTGTTATTTTTATCTCTTGATTTTTCTCAGACTATTATATATACATATTGTAAGAATGATGCGTAGACAATATATTCTTTTACTATCATATATATATATATATATAATAATATATATAATAATACATATATATATATATATAATCTAATATATATATATATATAATCATGCGTAGACAATATATATATATATATATATATATAATATATATATATATATATATATAGAATCATGTATATATACAATATCTCTTTACAATATCATATATATATATATATATATAATATAATATATATATATATATATATATAAGTATAGTATTTATATATTAGATTATATATATATATATATATATAGATTATATATATATATATATATATATAATATATATATATATATATATATATATATATATATTCAAATATATATATATATATATATATATATATATATATATATATATATATATATATATATATATATATATATATATTTTTGGAATCTAAAAGAAAAGAACAAAACACCTACGGTTAAATGGACATTGATTAAGAAAGCCCGGACATGTAACTCCCTATATTCCCCATGTTACCTATGTCTTAACGAAAAATTTGAAATTATTAGATTTAAAAACAAGGCTGATCTCTTAAATCAAAGATATGAACTAACGGTTAATTGTAAACACCGTTATAAATTTAACTTATTATAAGGGTCGTATACTTTAAATGATCATGATATGTCGTTGTAAGTTTTATAGATTATAACTTTTATTGCCTGATGGCCAATCTGACGATATGAATGTGTATTGTATAACTACATAGTGTTATTCATTTTTCTGTATATATGCTTATAATCATTGCCGCTTCGTCACCGACGCCCTTTTGGACAGTTGGTATGGCGTTTGCCTCATATCGTAACGGTTCGGGTTTCAATTCTCGGTAGTGGATGCGCACTGCTGATGAGTCTCAAATTTAGGACGAAACGGCCGTCCAGTGAATTCTGTTGAGGATTCTTCTTGACTCGATGAATTACTAAATTATAATTATCTCAAATCTTCCTAATAATTTCTATCACTTATATATTTCTATCACTTATACTTGCGTATTATGCGAATTTTGAAAATCTAATTTCGAAGTTATTTTTAAGAGGGTGCACAAGACACGATATATTAATAATCGTATGTACTGC